ATTTTATCTCTATATTAAGAAGAGACTCTGCCAATTAAATTTTCTAATTTCAGGCATTAGCAGTTAAATCCCAGACAATATTCCAGTGTAGATGTGCTGGGGCAAAGGTGAGAACACGAAATGCATTTCCAGTTTATTGCCATAGCATTTTCTTCTCTTGACAGTTTTACAGTAGCAGAACACTCACACATGGAGAAACACTACCTGCAAACTCAACAGCTATGACCTGATACAACCCACACCAAAGAATTACAACAGGTAAGGTTGTTTTGCTTGCAAAACAAATAGCATTTTTAACTATAACCTCTTCTGGAAAAATATAGTGAGGCAAACAGAAGCAAACCAACCCAAACGGCCACGGTAAAAATAACACACATAACTAACAAAATAAATAATTACTTCCTATTTGAAGACTTATTCTCTCTTCAAGAAGCGAAATCAATAGGATCTCTCTCTCTGGTAGAGAGGGTTCTTGAAATGTAGATTAATTAAACGCAGCATAGATAGAAATGCTTGTGATGCATTTTTAGAACTTTATTTGCTTAATAAACATCTAAAGAACACAGAGGAGCCACCACGGCTCTAACAGAGCTGGACTTCACCCACTAAGAATACATTAGCTAATGTCTTACAGACTTTACTCTTCTGAATAATGCTTAGGAAAATAACTGCCATTTCTGTTTTCATCAAGGAAAAGGAAAAAAAAAACCCTGGAGAATTCATCAGCTGCTCAGTCCTGCCTAAAGAGCAACCGAAAGCTCTGCAGGTAGCACAGCACGGGTGGTTCAGCTGGTCCCTTCTATGCATGAAATTTAGGGAAAAACACTGGTACATTTTCTGACAAGCTTGTAAGATGATGATTACTTTCAATACTAAATTGCCTTGAAGTAGGAGCAACATTTTGCCATCTTGAAAAATCTTTAGTATTTCTATAACAAGATGCATGAATTTTGCTGCCTTTTAACAGGCCTGGTTGCAAACCGATACCTTTAATTAATAAATACAGAAAGTTCTGCTGTTGTTCAAATGGTGTTTTAGCAGCTTTCTGAGAACTGTATCTGTGAATCTCAAAAATAAGACGCTATTGATGCAAGGTAGATATTACTGAGACTTTACAGATTATTTTTTTTAATATATTTTCAGAATCAATGGGGAAAAAGCCAATATAGCTGATAAGTTTGCCTTCACCATTGATAGCAACAAGCCTCTGTGAGTAAGCTGCAATCCTCCCCATGGGGATTCACCTGAAGGAGTAGGTATAATGTCAATGTCAGTCTAAAGCAAAAATCTCATTTCTGTTTTGATTTGCAGCATTTCCCAGTTGATTCTTTTCTAGAATGATCTTAAACATTTTCAATGCTAATTGAACAAGATAGGTCCAAGCTATTGCCCATGTAGTGGTTTGTTCTAATTAAAAAACCCAAATGCAGATGCTTTCCTTGTAGGTTAATATTTGACACGTTATTAGCTTCACCTCTCAAAGATGAAAACAGAAAGGGGCTGGGTATTTTGTTCCAGGATTCCCAGACATGGATGTGTGCACACTCATCTCTGCCTGTAGAGCAATACTCCCAACACAGGACCTATCCAACCCTTACACCACACCAGGAAATAAAGGCAGGAACATAATTTATTTTATACACATTTCCATCTGCATTTCTGCCCATGAGGTTTTTCCTGGACACATTAGCAACTGGACCGAAGCAGCTGATTTTTCCCTTCTTGCGAGAAAGCAAGATAAAAACCCCAGTTTGTTTTTTAATTTGTTTTAAGAGTGAGGAAAGGTACATGAGCATGTCTCCAAAAGAAAGAAATCTTAGAGTAATCTGTGCATCTGAACCTTTATGTTTGTCTCCTTCCAGCTTTCTCCTGTCATTTTAACTTAGTAACATTATGTATTAAACATGATGATTTCAAAGATAAAGATATTCCCAATACATCTCAAGAGGCTAATGCTAATCAAAGCTGATTGAAAGACTTAAGAGTTTCAGATACCAGCAAAACCAGACTGAACTGTGACAACAGACTACTTGATAGTCTGATTCTGTTTAGACCAGAAGCTATATGTGTAGCATTATTCAGTCATTAAATATTGCCTGATCGCTGGTATTTCTTGCTCCACCTTAAAATGAGAATCAAATACTATATGTAAGGAATTAAAGGGGACTAGATCTTATGTCTTCAGTTAAGCAAAAGTAGTTTTAAAAGTGAGATTGGAAATATATACAGGTTATACAAACATTCTTCAGGAATAACACAGATACTATTTATTTTGACTCGCAACAGCAGTTATCAAGTAGACAATCTTTGCAAGTCCTTCCCAGGTCTATAGTCTATAACTCTATAATTACCAAGTAGTCCATCTTCAAAAAGCTGTGCAGAAGCAGCAAGCTTTACCATATGTAAAAAAAATTGCTTCTTGTATGCTACCAATGATGAGGATGGACAAAGATAAAAGTACAGGGGTAGCTTTGACAAGAGATAAAGATGAAAACAGACAAAATAGCTGAAATAAGGTAAACAGAACACATATGTACTGAAGTGGAAAATAGAAATTTTACATTTGCTCAGAAGCAGAAGCAGTTTGAGGAGGGAAAGACAGGTCATCCTCAAAAGAGCAGTAGCAACATAGGCTCCATGGGGCAAGAGGTATTAAAAATCATGGGAACGAGCAAAGTAGGGAAGATGAAGGCTAGATAAGGATGAAAGGAAAAACTGGGTGGGATCAAGGTGCAAGTGACAGGTGAGGATGACAGAGCCTGATTGGTTTGGTCACCTAAATGAAATCATCTTCCCAGAGAGAAACCACTCTGAGGCAAAAAGAAGGTACAATCATGCTGCCTGATCTGTAACTGAGTTTACTGCCTACAACTACCACATCGATTGGGCCTTTGCACAGTTCTTGCTCTGCAGAAAGTGAAGGCAGAAAATACGTAAGCCTGCCTGACACTGTTTTCCTGCTGGAACGTCCAAACCTGTGATATAAGCAAACACAAAGTGACACTTCTATTGTGGGAAACTTCAGCAGCTGATGGCATGCTGTTTAATCCTTCTGTAGGTGCCATCAGACAAAATACTGAGGAGCGCAGCTGTATGTAGCAGTTACTTATATTGATCCAGAAAACGCCGCACATGGCAGCTTATTTGCACCATCTGCTACAGAAATGCCAGTCAAGGGGAGCAAGGTAGACACCTGGGGTGTCCACACTGAGAAATCACTTAAAGAGGAAAGAAACTCCAGTGGGGGAATAAAAAAATCTATAAAAAATGAGTAGCTTCTGCTGTCAAAAGGACTAAAGCTTTTGAGGAAGAGCAGCAGCTGGCTCAAGAGCAGCCAGCCTGAGCTTTAGCGAATGTCCTGAACTCCCCTGCAGTCAGGCAGCCCCCCCTTTTCATGCTTAAGTGTCTGACAAGTGGCCTGATTTTAAAGCTAACAGCAGTTTTCCAGGGTTTTCAGTAGCGCAAATAGTTGCTGAAAAGTACAAGGAATATACATCCTCTAAATAACCTACCCATCCAACTGAATAAGCCCTAGCAATGGCTGAAATTAAG